AGAACGAACCTCATAATATGAATCTTGAGAGAGCAAAGGTTGTTGTGATTCCGATTTGGGTAGTCGATGGTAACCAAACTTGGACATCAGTAGGTTCTTGAGTCTGCCTAGTCCGGATTCGAGTCCCATGTTATTTATCCTTTTGAATTCGTGATATCTAATAGTTTAAACACAAATTTCTTGTATATATACTGTTATATATGATATTCGTCAAATTTTAATCTCACTTTCTCTCCTCAACCTATATCTAAATACTATTAATCTTTCACTTTCTTGAATAATATGGATGAATATGTATTGAGGATATATTTTGTGGGATATTTTGATTGTTATCTTTTATATTGTTTCCTAAAATTCCTAGTTACCTAGGTTAAGTAATTCTAAGTTTAGTATTATATATATATTGGTGTTGATTGATTAATGAAAGCTAAGTCGTAAGATATGGGATTAAAAATTCACATGGAGGATATTTGTTGTTCGAGTACTAATAGTAATCACACTAGGATTAGGATAATACTCCGTAGGATAAAATAAATTAATCACAAAAGATTAAAAATAAACAGTACGGGAAACAACTCAAACAAGTATATCTTAATTAATCTTTGGGTGCAATTAGAAATCAAGTATATTTTTGCATTAAAAAAAGAAATCAAGCATATTTTCTTAATTACAGAGTAGTCTCCAACTCCAACCGGATCAATCAAATTATTTTCACATGGACAGGCCTTGTTCACTTCACCTTAAAAAAAAAATATTTTGTTTCAATAAATTCAGTTATATAAAATGCTACCTCCGTTTTTTTTAGTTGACGCATTTTGACTTTAGCACTATTCACACACTTGCCTTTGATTGTGTTTAGTGATTTATACGTAATGAAAAATATAGTCATGTGGGATCCTATTAGACTCGTGGCGATATATAGTTTCACAATATCAAACCTTTATAATTTTTGCTTATCGGTGATTAAAGATATTAATGGTTTTATTTGTGCATTGGCGAACATGACTAAAGAAACGTGTCAACTAAAAAGAAATAGAGGAAGTAGTACTTAGTAAAAATAAATTCAGTTCAGTAAATTTAATTTCAGTTTAGTAAATATAATTTAAGTTCGATAAAAATAACTTTAACTTAGTAAAAATAATTTTAATTTAGTAAAATAAGGTGGAGTGAACAGGGCTTAATACTAATATTTACATAATTGAATTAATTTTTATTGAATTAATTTTATTTTTAACTAAAATGAAATTATTTTAAGTGAATAAGACTCTGTTTTACTTCACCTTATTTTTGCTGAACTGAAATATTTTTTTTTTATTGAACTAAAATTATTTTTGTTGAACTTAAATTAATTTTATTGAACATAAATTTATACTATTGATTCTCACGTCTTTTTAGATGCTCTTGCACCTTTAAAAATTCCAAGCAAACTTTTTATGATACCTAATTTGTGTTTCCTCTACTTTCATATGTTTAATTAATTAGCATAATTATTATAACTTTTTCTAAATAATATAGAAGAGAAAGATGATACTTTGACCTTTTTCTCTTTACTTTATTTTTGCTGAATTGCAATTATTTTTGTTGAATTGAAATTAGTTTTACCAATTAAAATTTATTTTTACAAATTCTTTATTATATTTTTATTTAAAGTTAAGTGATGCGCGTAAAGTCCGTTGAGAGCGATTGCTTAGCTTGATTTATGGTAAGTCGATATGATTGTTAAAGAGATAAAATTAGCTTAGATCAATTTATTTCTTAAATTTTGAGTATGTTAATTATATCCAATTTTTAGAGAAGCAAATTGTGTAGCTCATTGTCACGATTCAAGTACCATACTCTTTATAGCGTCAATGGGGTCGTATGGGCTAATATTTCTAAATTCTAATGAACACTATATTGATGATAATATAATAATGGGTTATTTGGGGTCCAAATGAAGTCCAAATAAACCCAAACTTGAGTGTCCACTATTTTTCGGGTCAATGAACATCAAAGTGAAATCAAATATTGAATACGGGGCCTGGAAATATCATTCAGAATTGTTTAGAACTCTGCAAAATCTATTCTACAAAATCTTGTATATAAGAGATATGTACTTACAATGGTGTAGTACCTTCTAGGACTTGTATATGTAGAACCTACCATTTGAGGAATTTAAGAACAGAAGAATGTTCTAGGTTGTAAGGAGGTCTATAAATAGGGAGTCTCCCCTCATTTTTGCATCATCCAAGCAATTGTAAACTCTCTTAAAATTATATGGTAGTCATCCTTAAAATGACTACCATTATACTAATTTTTTATTGCCTGTTTTTAATTCAATTTATTATGTCAAGATTTTATTATAAATCATTCATCTAAATTTTAAAGTTCATTTATCAATTTTGAAATAATTTTTGATTTTTTTTATAATTTTCCTAATTAATTTACAGATTCAGTTTTTATTTTACTGAAATTAAAAAACAATTCATTAATTAATTATAAAAACATAAAAAAAAATTAAAAAAAACAAAAATAAATTTTAGAAATAAGAAAAAACATTTATAATTAATCTTTTCATAAAAAACATGTGTAATTGTTAGCTGTCAACTAATTGTTAGCTATGAAAATAAATAATTAAGTATGAGTATTTGGTAAATTAGCTGTTGACTATCTATTAGCTGTAAAATTCTAAAAATATAGAAGAAAAATTCCAACTGCTACCTAGCTTTTCACAAAAGCTAATAATATTAACTTTTCACAAAAACTACTCCAACCACTACACTCCACTCCCACCACTACGTCGTCAAACACTCATATTTTTACTAATAATGGATTGAATAAGTCAAATCACTAAAAGCTACTCAAAATCTAGTGTCGAACACGCCTTTAGAATTAGGGTTTATCCAATCAAGCTCAAATTTGACGAAATAATTAACGTACACAATTATTGTGTAGTTAAAACTGTAGTTAACGCCATAATTGTCACTTGTCAAATATGATTGAAATAATTAAGTAGGGATGTCAGTGGGGCGGGTCAAATAGGAGACCCGTCCCATCCCCGCCCCAACGGGGCGGGGATGGGTCTTGGTTTGGCAGGTGATGGGGCGGGGATGGGGATAAAAACCATACTCGCCATGGGTGATGGGGCGGGGGTGGATTTTAAGTTGTACCCGCCCCGCCCCACCTGCCCCACTTCGTACCCGCCCCATCCCCACCTACTCCACTTCATACCCGCCCCATCCCCACATCCACATATTTTAAAATCAAAATTATATACTTTTATACTATTTTATAAAAAAAAAAGTTATGTAAAATAAAATAGTAAATATAATACTTTGTAATACACTTATATTATAAACAAAAAAATGTGTAATATTAACAATAATTTTTTTCTTTTTGCAATCTTTATTAATTATGAAGGATTGTGTATTTGGGAGGCGGGGATTAGGCGGGTCTTAGGTGGGGATTAGGTGGGGGTGGATATCCAAGTGGGGGTTGGGGTAGGGATGGTTTTGGAATTTTACCCGCCGGGGCGGGGATGGGGATGGGGATGGGGACAAAAATTTTAGGTGGGGATGGGGATGGGGATGGGAAGGCCAACATCCGCCCCGCCCCATTGACATCCCTATAATAAGCGTTTAATCTTGAAACAGTAGTTAATCGAGTTTTAAACTTTAGCAGATATCGAAACTTATATGAGCACTTAGGAAGGTTGGTTTTGCTGTTTTAGGGAATCTCATCCTCGGATTCTATTATTCTATCGTAGATGTTTTTTAAGCAAATATCTATACTGTATATTAAAAGGCGTTTGTTTCGGGGTTTTTGATGTGTCCTGCGGGAGAGTTACAATCCCTAGTATGTGCAACCGACGCCTGTTCCTGCAAAACCACGAAGACTCCGGTTGATGGGAGCTCCGCCTCCGACGATCAAGTCAGTAACGTACAGGAGGTAATAAGTGCGGAAATAGTAATTACTACTCGCTGATACATGAGGATTCTGCAATTAATATTGCTCGGGATTGGTGTTTGTATTTTTGGATGCCCAATAAATGAGGTCTGACCCACTATTTATAGTGGGGAGACCAGTACCCCATCTAGGGTTCAAAGGACACGTGTCAACAGGGGATTGACGCCCTGTTGACCTATGGCTGGCTGCCACATGTCGCAAGGCCACTTGGCCATGTGTCTAGGGTGATTTTTACCCTAAACATTTGCCCTTCTCAGGTGCTGACGTGGCGGTGCCTCGTGGCACCTGAGACGGTTCTCTCTCCTCTTTTTTTTTTATTTTTTTTATTTTTTTTATTTTTTTTTTAATTTCAAATTTGCCCTCAGAAATATTGAAGTTGAAGAAGCAGAAGGCGAAAAGGCGCGATGGTTCGCCTTTTGAGGATTGCCTATAAATAGCAAACCTCCTCCCCCATGCTCACATTTACAACCTTAAGCAATTCCAAAGATTTTGAGAGCAGCCGGTTTTGAGAGCAAATTCCTCCCGGTTTTTCGCTTCCTTCAAAGAATTTCCTGCCGTCTGTGGGTGTTGTGAACAGCTTCGCGAATTTGCAGCTGCTACTTAGAGAACACGTTCCGCTACGAGGACGCCTGTGTCTTTGCAAGCCACTTGAAGATTTTCCAGCTTGGTCAAGCGGTTTTCTCTCCTTCTCAATTTACTTAGGTACCGCCTCTGCTCTTTTTCAGCTCTTCCATGTATTTACGTTTGTGCTTCTTTCTTGCTTTTTTCTTTATTAGTTCCATACGTAGATGGACCCATTATACCCACACCCGGAACATAGCTTTGAGACCAACCGGTCCCTCAGTACGGCTGAGTCTAGGACTGGGGGTGCCGCCTCTGGGCATTGGAATCTTTCTTGTTCATCTCCCAATCCGACCGTCTCCGTGTCTGTGCAGGACACAATGGCCAGAACCAGGAAGATGGCTGTGGATCCCAATTATAGAGGCGGAGGCTCAGAATACTACTACATTTTTGATTTAATGCAACGGTACAAAAATAGCTAATACAATGGCTAATTTCATACCGTTGTATTAGACTAGGCTAATTCGTTGTATTACACTAAAACAGGGTTAATACAACGGTTTATACTAACCGTTGTATTAGATATACTAATCCGTTGTATTAGATGAGCTAATACAACGGATTATTCTTCTAACACAACGGATAGTGTTCCCAATTTTATTTTATTTTTCTATTTTTCAGTTGGAGCTAATCCAACGGATCAGTTGAGCTAAGGGATCAGCCCCAAAAAATAAAAAAAGAAAAAAAATTAAGACCTAATACAACGAATGAGTAAGAAAAAAAAGAAAAAAAAACCGGGAAATGAAATGCCGAAATATTAGAGCCAAAAATGAAATTGAAACCCCATTTCCCAAACTTTTCTGCTCAGTCTTCCTTCCTTCTCCTCCCTCAGCTCGCCGCTGCTCCTTCCTTTGTTCTCCTCCCTCGCCGCCGCTGCGTCGTCTCCTACCTCGCCGTTTCGTTCTGCTGTGTTCGAATCTCTATCTAAGGTAGGTATACCTTGAATTTTCGTCTACCAATTATGGATTTGTTGATTTTGTTTTGTATTTAAATTGAGGGAAGTAACAATATATTGACAAATCCTCGATTTACTAGGGGTTTATGTGTTTTGTTTTTGCTACATATATTGACAAATCCTAATTACTAGTGGTTTTTCGATTTATGAACCCTATCTAAGGTGCTGCCAATAAATTAAATTGCATAATCTATCTAGTATCTACACACTAGTAATATTGTAAAACTTATCTAATTTCAAGACAATGCAGGGCAATATCAAAACACATAAATAAATCTTACTGCAATCTAAAGACATAGCACACAAGACGTACTACTACTGAAGTAAAAATTTCCCTTTGTGAATCATGGACTGATATAGGATCTGCATAAACCTTCTGTTAGCCGTTTCAGATTCTGAGGTGGTGGTGCTGCTAGTGCTTGGGGGATCCTTTGGGGCTAATTCTATGAACATTGCTCTATTTAATATATACTTTCAAATGTTGAAGCAGCGGCCAAATTTGCATATTTCTGGGAGACTGGTGTGGAGTCATTTGATGAGATGGAGAGTCTTGTTCGAAACCATCCCCGATTAGTTTTAGCACCGTGAGTTTTTGCTTCTAATTTCATCTTTAATTTCACTTTTATGTTGTGCCATTATTGTTTTGGGAGGTTATTGTGTTTAAGATTTGGTTGGATTTAATTTATTTTCACTGTTATTAGGAATGAGAATTTCACTTAGTTGTTACTTTCAAATGTTTTCAGTCCATTACTATGGTTAAACATGGAAAATATTTATGCTATTTAACTTGTTTTGTTATAATTTTTACCAGAAGTCAAGTTTTAACAAACAATTGAATGTTTTGGCATTATCATTAGTTTCATTCAATGTAATTGAATCTGCTAAAGGCTTCATTATTAGGCATGTGACTCTGCAAGTAGTTTAAGCTAGCTTTGATTTCTTTAGTAGCAGACCATGTGCCTTGTGCTCAATTCTATGTTTCAGCAAGTAATAATTAGGCGTTTACTATTGCTTCCCTTATTTTGATATTCCTAGCATGTTTATTTACACGAAGTCAATATAAATCCATGGGCAGATTCATGATCCCTAGTCAAGCAGCATTACCTTTTCACATGCAACTTCAAGGAGAATCTCTTGTCTAGTGTCTAATACAATAGGTTACATTTTCCAATTTTTGTTCTACTAATACAATGTAGAGCTTTCTGTCATTAGATGCTTAAAGAAATGTGTTTCGTGCAATAGGTTCTTTAATTTTAAGAAGAAAATATGATCAGATTTTATTTCTAGTGAGAATGTGATATCCTATACTTAACCATGCAGAACCTCTGCTTGCATCTTAAGGACTTATGTACTCACTGTGCAGCAAGATTATTGACATATTCCGTGTTCAATCAGCTAATTTTACTTATATTTTCTGCATTTTGATCCTTTTTTTTATTTATCGTTTGACTTTTGCATTTCATTGTTGCTTGTTTATTGATCGAATTGGATTGTTGTTTATTTCTATCAATCGTTTTTTTTTTATTTAATGCTGTATTTTTTTGGACATGTATTTTGGCCTTCTACTTATGAAATCTGACACATCAATTTCTTGGTTACAAACTTCTTAGCCCCTGCACATATTCTTGGAAACCAACCACTGTCTACGTTCCGGTTCATAACCTTCTTAGCCTCTTCACACGTATCCTCGAATCGAATCTCATACATTCCCACCACCAGTGATACCAATGACTTCTGCCTAAGCAAAAGATATGTCATGTAATCTGAAACTTGCTTACAGAAATTAGGATAGTTTGTACCTCGAACACTGTCATCAGCAGTCTAGTAGCATATATCAGTGGCAAGATGCCAAATCAGTACACTCTCATCATATTCAACATCCAAAATCCAAGGATTTAAGTACTTTGATATAAGAAAAGAGCGTTCTGTTCTCCTGGCTCAATGTCAGCGTACCTCGAGTTTCGGACACGATAAAAAGATGAAGCGTTGATGATGAGCAGTGAGGTGCCTGAAAAAGGGCAAAATTATGATGATGAGCAGCTGAATGAGACCGCTAATGCTCTTCAGGAAGATTGTGAGGGCAATGAAACAGCGGACCGAGCAGTTGTAGCACAGTTTGGAATGGAAGGTATATTCTGATCATGATATTCTTGTTATATACATACATACATACATACATATTAGATGTGTGTGTCAGTGCATGTGTGAGGTGAAGAAATATGAAAATCTATGGTTGTTAGCCAGCCTTAGATCTTTGATACAGCATAAGTGGAAGTAATATCATCTATTTGGATAAGCAAATAGTGATTATATGTGTGATGGGTCTGATTATGTTATCTTTCTCATCAGCAGCTTGCTTTTCTTTTTGTATGTACTTAATCTCTTTCTGAACCACCAGGTAATTGTGAATTGTTCAATTTCTAAGATCCTTACTGTGGATGATTTGAATTTTCTGTTTTGAAATATATTTTTTTTGCTCGTCTTAAATTTTTGGAAACTCAAGTTTTGGGGCTAGGATGAGTCACTATCAATAAAGCAACTAAACATCTTAGTCCTCATTTCCAGGAGTATCTTTCTGAATTTAGGGATTCCTTATTGTTGTTTAATTAAGTTAAACACTATTATTATTCATGAAGTATCTTACTAAAGAGTGGTTAGGACATATATAGTCTGGTGGGATGTTGATTGAGACTAATTGATGAAAATAGGCATTTATGATACCATGTGAGACCCTCAATGTATGAGGTGAAACCTTAGAATTCCACTCAGCTCTGGACTCCAGTGATACGTATAAAGGTATTCTGATTACTTATAGCATCATATGGTATTTGAAATGGAAGACAGTACAGTACAGTTATTCTGATTATGAATTGCCATCATGGTTAAACCCCCTGGTCTTGTTATTTTAAATTTGTGCCTATAGGCTATAACTGTTCTAGTTGGAAGGCGCTTTACTGAAAATTTACCGTCTTTGGTAATTGTTACTCTAGTTCTTACATGGATTTCCATACCTTCATGTCTTGTTGTAGTGTTGCTTGTTGCAGTGTTGGAAGTGGAGCAACTGGGAAGGTTTATAAAGCAGAGATTCCAAAATGGTCAAGTGTTAGCGGTTAAAAAGCTCAATGCCAGCACCTTAGGGAAAGCAGCAGTAGCAGCAAGGAGTTTCGTGAATGAGGTCACTGCCCTGATAGAGATTCGGCATAGGAACATTGTGAGGTTTTATGGGTTTTGTCTGCACGAGAGCATAACATCTTGGTGTACAAGTTTATCGAAAGAGGAAGCTTGGCTGATGTTTTAGGCAGTGTCGATGGAGCAAAGGAGCTAGACTGGGACAAGCGGGTCAGAATCTGCCTGCTGCTGCTGTGTGCTGCGTTGTGTGTTGTTGTGTCGTGTTGTTGTGTTGTTGTGCATTGTGTGTTGTTGTGTGTTCGTGTTGTTGTGCGTTATTTAATTTCCCCAATTGGTGTTGTTATTGTTGTTGTTACGTTGTTGGTGTTGTGGCTTATGCATTACTTGTTTAGCTTTTGTTTGGCTTACATGCATTATATTATTTGTTACTTATCCCTAATGTTGAATTATATACATTACTTGTCCTAATATATTATTATTATTATTTTTACATGGGGTGCTTGATGACGATGAGCTACTCCGGGATGAATGACGTACGGACTAATGTTGATTTTATGTATCTATTGCAAGTACTAATTTTATTTCAAACGATTGTTAATTAATTAGTGAACTTTCATTTATTATTAGTTAGTATCGGCACCTCGTTTGTTTTGTAATGCAACGAATATATTATATGCACTTCGTTTATTTTTAATTATAAATATACTAATATAATTTATATTTATTATATATTATACCTTTAAGATTTAAACTAATTAATTATATATAATATATTGGTATAATATATAATTATATATTCCAAAAAAAAAATTAAAAAAATTACCTAATACAACGGTTTTCAAAAAAAAAAGAAAAAAAAAGGTCTAATACAACGGAAAAAAAAAAGAGGCTAATACAACGGATTAAAAAAAAAAACAAAAAAGGATCTAATCCAACGGATTGGGCGAGCAATCCGTTGGATTAGGTCCAATTATTCCCAAAAAACAAAAAAAGGGAACCTAATACAATGGATTGCTCAATCCGTTGGATTAGGTCACTTTTGCCGTTGTATTAGACCCAATCCAACCCCAACAAATGTGACGGTTGCTAGCCGTTGTATTAGGTCTAATGCAACGGTTTTTGACACCTAATACAACGGAAAAAGCCAATGTATTAGCTCTTAAATGTAGTAGTGGAAGAGTTGCCGCCTGAGGAGAGGGTCCCAGATGAGATGACAAGGGGATCTCCAAGAGGCACCCCAAGTACCCCTAGTGATGGAATTCTAGGGTCTTATAGTGGAGGCGGTGAGGAAGCCGCCTCTACTTCTAAAGCTGAGGATAAGAAAACCTCAGCAAGAAACGAAAATAACCCCGCTTCCAGTTCCGGCTCTGATGGGAGCGACAACAGCAGCAGCATCTACTATCTCACGCCGACTGTGGATAGCGAGGAGGAGGAGAGGCCTACATGGAATAATAAAGGCGACCCTCTCATGATCACCGTCTCTGCAAAAGACAGGGCTAACATGCAGAGAAGTTTGGCCAATTTCATACTCAAGCGGCCCCTTGGAGAAGGGTACAAGTTAGTCGTCCCGCCTGAGATGGGGACCATTGCCTGGGAAGACAACCAGCGCAATGCAGACGGTTTCTTTGGCTACTATGAGGCGGCTTTCTTAGCGGGGCTCCGCTTCCCCCTTTATAACACAATAAAGGCCATACTTAGGGGTTATGGTCTAGGCGTCTGGCAGCTTACCCCCAACTCTTGGGTAAATATACTTGGGTATATTTCCGCCTGCGAAATGCAGAACCTGAACCCCGGCTGGGAGGCTTTCGCCCATATGCATTATCTGAGCCGGAGCCCAGGCGGTTGGAGGGGCTGGTACACTTTGACAACATATCCCAAGTACTTAATGACGCTTGACAAGCCGTCAAAGTGGTCGGATTGGAAGAACCGCTTCTACCTAGTCAAAGCTCCAACCAATGAGGAAAATCGGGAGCTCCGGACGTACAACCAGAAGCCTGAGCTGCTTGGGTAAAAATGTAAAATGCGCCAGATACTAGATGGGGATTACGAAGCAATCATAGAATCCGGATCCTTTGAGCTCACCACTTCCACTATCTCAACCGGTAAACTTATCAGTGTACCCAAGAATTGGGTACCCCAACATGAGTTTCTGAGGGACGAGGTGTTCTTGTCCTCCTGCGGGTTAAGCACCATGTTTAATAAATGTAGGTTGGGGGCTTCAGCCGGCCAAATTGCCGGATGTATAATTTTTGCTTTGCTTAGATATTTGTTTTTGTACTTTCTCTAACCAAGCGTCCCTTTGTTATTTTGTAGCTGAAGCCCTAGGCATGTTGCAAACGTACAAGACGCCTGCTAAGAAGGCCTCTGATATCCGAAAGGAGAATGCAGAGAAGAAGAAGGCTGCCCAGGCGGCCAAGAAAGTAAGTCCGCCTGACCTCTTTGCATATTACTCTATTGCTTGTTTGCTTCACTTTTTCTTCTATTCCCAGTTATTTCAAGTCTAACCATCCGACCCCTTTTTGCCTTGTTTCAGGATGCGAGCAAGGTTCCTCGCTCTCTTTCCAAACAACTCCGGCAAAAGCCGGTTGGGGAGGAGCCCGCTCCTAAGGTCCAGAAGACCTCTCATGCTGACCGGCTGACTGACGGCGGCAAAACGGTGAAGAACACCGGAATAGGGTTCGACCATTCACACGGGAGGACGGACGTCCCTCCGGCACCCCAAAAAACAGGCGGTACATCCGCCGAAAAGGGCCCACGCGGCACTCAGGAGACCCAACATACGGATGACCCCTTCAATCTCACTCTACTTGGCCTGCCCATGCGGGTCAAGTCTTACTCCCTACTCCAGCCGGAGGACTCGTCATCCAGCCAGCAATCTATTGGAGGGGCGTTTGCTCCTTTCTCACCGTATGTTTCTAGTGCAAATAAATCTCCTCGCTGGCCAGACGTGACACAATACGCCCCGGCCATGCTGAAAGTCGTCCCTAAGGACGAGAAGGAGGCCATCCCTGGGATCAACGCCTTCAATGCTGACCGTGTGATGGTCAGCCTGGCTGAGGTAATCTTATACATCCGTCTCTTCTTTAAACCATAATCTCATACTTGTCCGATTTCTTCTAACATCGGTTGTGTCTTCGCAGTCATTGTTGCGCGTGGAGGGGCTGAAGAGAGCCTATGCACGCAAACAAGAGGAGGTAAGGAGAGCCAAACGGGACGCCACAGACGCCCATAATGTAGCTCAGTATTCAATGATTGTGCATGACTTAGAAACTAAATCTATAATCATGCAACAGGCGGACCAGATCAAGACCCTTCAGAAGGACCTCAATGAGTCCAAGGTCAAGGCTGACAACCTTCAGGTGGCGTTGGAGAACGCTGAGACGGAGTTGAAGAACCACGAGGATTCTCTCCAGACCTTGGAGAAAACACAGAGGGAGAACTCCTCCCTGAAGAAGGAGAATGACCGCCTGAAGAAGGAGGCTTCCACTTCTAAGAAGAACTTCGAGGCAACCCTTAAGGCGGAATAGAGCCGGCTCATTGAGGAGAATGAGCAAGACTGCGAGAACCGCATGAAGATGGCGTTCTCCCTTATTCATCCGGATGCGGACTATATCGCCTGGGAGCTCGCCTATCGATACGCAGATCTTGCCATTCTGGCACAGGAGGAGGGTCAGCCAGAACCAGAGCCCTATGAGCAATGGGTCAAGAAGGAAATTGAGAAGATGCAGGCTGAGGCGGCCGAAGAAGAGGAGGAGGATCAGGCGGAAGTTGCGGAAACAGTCAACCTCCCCGGCTCTGAAGCTGTTGCCAACCAGGCCCAGCCACAGCAGACTCAGGCGCCCAGTGCTCAAACACCAACAACCCAACTGACTCTTGAAATTGAATGAATGTAATTTCCGGCCTGCGTGCCGTGTATCTTTGTATTTTTTTTCACCGGATGGGGGTCAGGTTAACAATTTCAACATTTTGAATTTTTATTAAATATATTTCGCCGACTGTGTCGGCTTTGCCTTGATTCGATTCTCAGTTTATTTCTGCTTAGCACTTTTTAATTTTCGCAAATTTTTGTCAAGTATAATGACGCCTGACTTTCCATATATACCGGGTGGGGTTACTGAGTTTGCCCCTGGATGGCTGGTTGTTAGCTTCAAAAGGTTAACAGGCAGACGTCCACATGTGCACCCGGTTAGATAAACAAGCGGTGCTTGATTGTTTGAAGGAAACCGATCGCATTACTAACCGGCTAGGGTGTGCTCGTAAAGCGCCCCGTTTTGCCATGTTTGTATGCAGCCGGCTATTTGGCCGGCTGTAGATCAGTCGTTTGTTAAATGCTAAGGTTTGGACCTCGCTAGGTTCAGTGGCATAACCGTTTGAAGTGCCTTTGTGTAAAAGCTGGTTATGGCATGACCAAGATTTCGTGTGCCGTCTGTACTGTTTGGTAGTACGAGCGACTGTATTTTCCTGTTGGGGGTACCGGCTGTATTACTTTGAAGTAAAGCCCGGGGTGCCGCTTTGCGGAAATGACCGGTTGTACTGTTTTGCAGCAAAAACCGGTTGTTTCTTGGTTACAATGGATCATTCAAACAGCTGCGAGTTATTTTTAACCTTAGCCGGTTAGAGCCCTTTGATTTATGACCGCTAGAACAATGTACCACCCGGAAGGGAGATGTTCTCTTCGACGAATTCACCCCAAATGGGCGTCGCCGGATGTCTGCTTTTTTGGAGCATACGGTTTAAATTTTAGCTGGCCGGTTGGCCTTTAATTTTATAGCTACCGCCTGTGTATTGCATAGGACATGGAGAATGCCGCCTGTTTATTGTACAGGACATGGCAAATGCCGCCTGTGTATTGCACAAGACATGGCATATGTATGCAAAAAGGAAAACTTGGAAATTAAGCATTCTCATTAATATACTCTATTTACAAAAATTTACAATTTCTCAGAAGTAGTACTTTTTCAAGTTGTCTACATTCCAAGTTCTGGCTAGCTGCCTACCGTCTAGGGTCTCCAGGCGGTAGGTGATGCCTTTGACTTCTTTAAAAATCCGGTAGGGGCCCTCCCAATTAGGAGTTAGCTTCCCTTGCTCATTCGCCCTACCGGTTGCCTCCATTTTCCGTAGCACAAAGTCCCCCACTTTGAGGGGTCGTTTGTGTACTCTTTTGTTGTAGGCCCTCGTCATTTTCAGACGGTATATCTCATGACGCAAGGCGGCGTTGCCCCTGCGCTCTGGGAGTGAGTCCAATGCAAGACGCATGGCCTCCCAATTAGCCTCTTCATCATAGAGCATGACTCGGAGTGTTGGCTCATAAAGTTCAATAGGCAGGATGGCTTCAGTGCCGTATGTCATGAGAAACAGGGTTTCACCGGTTGCCCCCTTTTCAGTTGTTCTGATGGCCCAAAGGACGTGAGGCAATTCCTCTGCCCATAGACCGCCAGCTCTCTCAATTTTCTTTTTTATGTCGTCTGAGATGAGCTTGTTGAAGGCTTCAACTTGGCCGATTGCCTGAGGCCGGCCAACGGATGCAAAAAAAAGTGAGATCCCTTGATCCCCCAACCAACTCTTGAGGGCAGGCGTTTCAAACTGAGGACCATTGTCAAAGACCATGGACATGGGAACCCCAAACCGGGTAACTATATTTCTCCAGATGAAGGAAAT